GTCTCGGTCAAAGTCCCAGTCCAATTCACGTTCCAGGTCCAGAACCCGATCTAGATCAAAGGACCGTAAGCACGGTCGGTCAAAATCCCGGTCCAGATCCAGGGAGAGGAGGAGAGAACACAGCAAACATTTGTCTCTCTCTTCAAGAGACAAGGTGGAGTCACGATCTAAAGAGAAGAGGAGAAACGGGTCTAGATCCAGTTCAAGAGAGAAAAGGAAAGAAGAAAGATCATCCAAAAGCTCACACCAGACTTCTCTTTCATCCTCCAAAGACGCAAAGAGGTTTCAAGACAAGAAAAAAGAGAAAGATGTTTCTCAAAGCTACAGTAAAGATGAAAAAGTTGAAGCCAATCTGAATAAAAAGGAGGGTCCATCCTGTTCTTTCACCTCTAAAGTAAAAAAGCCGGACAAAGTCCTCAGTGCAGAGAGCCAGTTCAAAACTACAGAAAGTACAAAAGAAGCAAAGGATAGAAAAGAAATTAAGAAAGAAAAACAGGCATCGGTTGGCATGTTTGAAGATAATCCTATTAGGATATCGATTAAGAAAGAGGAACCAGATACTTGTTCTTTGGCAGTAAGCAAAGAGGATATCGAAGTCCCCATTAAGACCGAGACTTGCGAAATTCCAATTGTTAAATCAGAGCCAGTCTGTGTATCCAGCTTACCCCCCGATACTTCCTTTTCTACGCTGACCCCGCCTGTTGCAGACGAAAGCCACCAGGACACAGTCTCTGAGACTCAGCCGTTGGCTGTGGCCAAACATCAAAACACTGAATTGGCTGTCCCTGTAAAACTGGAAGTTCAGCAGCCTTCAGACTCTGATGATGACTTTAATATTGATGTGATGCTAGACACCTTGGATTACGTGAAATCTGAGCACACAGAGAGTAGTGGTGCAGCTGTCATACAAGAGAAAGAAGTGATGGCCGGGAAGAATGAGGTACAGCAGATATCAACAAAAGCAGGAGCAAAAACATCCAAAACACAAGTGAAGCGTGTTACCTGGAATATACAGGAGCCTGAGGGTCCGCAACCAGAGAAGTCTGCGAGCAGTAAGTGGTATATTGTTACTTTACTATATCATGCTAACTAATGTGTTTTTATTTAAGTCACTTCATTATTTTTAAATGCCTTTAGAAGTGGTTGCTGTCAGATATAGCCTGGATACAACTGTTCCCTATAAACTGAAAACTCAAGCTTCAAACTGCTCTGAACACTGTTTCTAGCAGCTTTTTCTAGTCTTTAAGCAAAGATTTTTAATATGTAAATAAATATTATTATTATTATTATTATTATTTTTTACCATAAGACATGCAGAACTAATGTTTTACAGTACAAGAATAAAGATGTGTGTTGTGTATCTTATGTTGCTAATTGTGTTTTTGTGCTTTCCTTTTCGCCCCCTTGCACAGAACTTGCTCTATATAAACTGAAGCTAAAGCAGGAAGGGGCTCGCAGACCTTCTTTGACAGTCCAGGCATCCAATCAGGTAGGTCTGAGCTACTTGCCACTGCAGTATTTACCAGATATTTTTTTGCATGTGCTATTTCTTATGTAATGACAATATTTGTAGGAAGGTGGCAGTGTTTATCCAGAAGAAGCAAGTTTGGTGTTTTTATAGAGTCATGTGATAGAAAGTGAAACTGATACCAAAGCAATTTCAGAGTAACTGAAAGTAGAACTGTGCATGTAAGCAGTACTTATAAACTGTGTCCCCATACAAGTATCTGTAAGAGACACAACAGTATTGTTTT